TGCCGTTGCCTCCGAACTAGGGAACGGAAACCGGGTGAACTTGGCTTGAATGCACCGTCGGGCAGCCAAGCACCTCATTGGGCTCCCCCTTCACACGTATGCCAGCAACCATCTCATTCTTCACTAGCTGCTGCAAGATGGGCAGGGCCACATGCCCCATTCGCCGATGCAAGGTGAGCCAATCACACTCCCCCGTAGCCGAAGTCGGATTGGAGAATGCCGCACTCGCAATAGTGCCCCACATGTTCTCTCCGTACTCCTCCTCCGCTGCTGCCTTGGGGTTCTCCTCACCCTTGTGCTGCTTCTGAGCTGCTGCACCACTCTCCTCATGTTCACCGAGCTTGCTGGTCCCTCCAAGATTGCACTTCTTGGACTTTATCTCCTTAGCGCGAACCGTTCGCAGCCATCGCCGCTACCAACCGCTTCACCCTTGGTGCTGATGCTTGCTGCCACTTGCCTCTCCTTAAGCATGGGGACCACAGGGATTTGCCACATCTCGTTGTAGACATCCCTATCCTCGTGAAGGTCCCAAAGAATCCGCTCGCCAAGCCTCGCGGTGTAGGTCTTAGCTCCCTTCGAGCTCGTGTCCATGCCGGCCTTTTGCAACCGCCGCACGGAAATCAGGTTGGCAGCAAGGTTGGGCACCCAAAGCACGTTCTTGAGGCCCACCATCTTCCCATCAGCACCCTTGAACATGGCCTTGCCCATGCCTTTCACCTCTGCTCGCTGCCCCAAAGCCGATGTGACATGCTTCACCGGTGACGGCTCGAGTTCGGTGAGCAAGTCCGGGCGAGGTGTCATGCTATAGGTAGCGCCACTATCAATCACCCAATAGTCCAGGGGGTGTAGGGTCACCTTCCCACAGCTGCTGGCTCCTCAAAGCCTTCATCCTTCTCTGGACCAGCCGGTACTTGCGTCAACACGAAGTAGAATAGACCCGGGTATCGATCGTCGCTCGGGTCCTTGTCGTTGTCTCCGCTCTTCATGTTTGCAGCTCCGCCACCGCGACCGCCACGGCCTCCACGGCCTCGTCCTCTCCCTCCTCCTGCTCCTCTTACCCTCTTGGCCTTGAGCAGGGGTCCAACCATCAGGAGTTTGTAGCAGTCGCGCCACATGTGTTCCGCTCTTGTGGCAATAGTGGACACTCGCCGTCGAATCGGCCGCCGACCGCGTCCGTAGCTCTTGTCGTCGCGCCGTAACCGCCACTCCTGCGGCCTCCGCCGAAGTTGCTGCCACCAAACCTTCCTCCCCCTCGTCCTCTGCCTCTTCCTCGACCATATCCACGGCCGATGCTCGCTGCCCCAGCGCCATCCGCACTCGCCAACTCACGGCGGCCGAAATCCTCTTGAAGGATAGCTCGCTTCACGTCTTCAAGCGAGAGGCGGGCAAGTCGCGATTAAGGTTGATGATGAGCGAGGACCATGACTCTGGGAGTAAGGCCAGCAACTTGGTCTTCTTTTGGAGCTCACTGTAGTTCAAATCAGCTCCCTCAAGCCGCGTCAACAAGTCGAAGAATTTCTGCACCCCTTCTTCAACCGCTTCGTCTTCTTCAATTCGTAGTGCCGCCATTTGCCGTTCCAACACCACCGCTACCGCCGCTGTTGCAGGAGCATGTACACCCTTGAGAGCAGCCCATGCCTTTGGTCCTTTCTCTGGTTCACGCTGGAATGGCTTGATGTGACGGATCTGACTGCTCCCCAACGCTTGCCCAAGTAAGAGATAGCCTTGTGCGCTCTTCCGCACCCACGGGCTCTTCTCCGGGTCGTTCTCGGGGCGCTTCTCCGTTCCTTCCATCACCTCCAGCAGGTCATAGTGGTCAAAGATGTTCTCCATCTTGAAGGACCATTCAGCAAAGTTGTCACCGTTGAACTTGTCAAGCCCAAACACCCTAGGCTCATCCCTAGGTGGGCCAAGACTTGGTTGCATGGGCGCCATGGCTGAATCACGGGGTTGGCCTTGAGCTTGAGCTTCTCCACTGCCACCAGCACCTCTGCCACCCCTTTCCTCAGGTCCAGACATTGTCGAAACTGCTCCAAGGGGCTCTGATACCACTTGTTATAGTCACAATAGCCTTGAATGTGCCTAAACGAAAGATAGAGTGCACAGACGGATTTCTGCACAGCGGATTAAAACGTTGATAGCGTTCTGCTCACAGCTGCAAATGACTTGATTCAAATTGGATCTGGAGCGTCTTGACGTCGCCTACAATAAGCAATTTAGATTGCACGATTTCATAAAGAATTGACGACACAGCGTCGGTTTGAACGAACGGTACTATGGCAGCCACTATAGTCTTAGAACACAAGATAGGAAGAGTTACGAGTTGGGAATGACTCCCAGCTCCTACAAACCCCAAGAGCCGAGGTACAGTGATGTGGAACAGTGCCACACTGTCCCCAACCAGGAAGGGTCTCGAAACTACCCTTCACTAGGGCCTACACCAAGTGAAATGTTACACTACACAAAGTAATGTAACTATCTTCAATATCTTGAGGTGTACCCTTTTGGCGAGCTTCGAAATCACTTGAGGCTTGACACCAAGGCTCGGGCTCTTCATCACAAACTCATCCTTGAGTTCTTGATGGGTCTGCTGCACACACCTGCGACACGCCGAACGTTCGACACAGGACAAAATAGAAACCGCGCACGACAAAATAGAAACCGCGCGCGAGACACAAACGACCGCGTAACACGCGTCTAGCGATAACTCGCTATTGACTCGACACACACACTCGACATCATGACTCAACATTCACACACAATTATAAGCATGAAATATATATTATCCCATGCCCTCATACCATTCCATACACACACACATTCACGCACACGGACAACAAGCCGAGTGCAAACCGTAGGGTTGCACCAACAGCCTCTAGGTCCTGCACTGCGTGGGCGTGCTCGTGGGCGATGATGGGGCGCTGCCACTGCTCTGCGCGCTTGAGCACGGAAAGCATGCCGCCTCTGCCATTGCTGCCCATTAAGGGCGTTGATGGCGCAGCGGATGAGCAGCGCGCCCCAGGGCAGGGAGATGTGCTCCGAGGGGCACAGCTGGAGGTGATGGGGGAGAGAAGGGCACAGGGGGTGGAGAGGGGAGGAGGTGAGGGGGAGGGGGGGCTTAGGACAATAAAACGAGGAGAGGATCGAGGTGGCGTGTGTGAGATGAGCAAAGCGCCTTCATTATTTCAAAGCAGCATGCCTCAAATCCTCAAAAAGCTTCACAGGACCTTCGTTTCTTCCCCCCCAAGTCCGCCCCTTTATCCCCCCCTGGTCTCTCGTTTTCACCCTTCGAGATTCTTGTTCTGCTCAGTTTTGAGCGGTTCTGGGTGGGTAAACAAAATTTCAGTTTCACATGTGTGAAAAACAAAACTTCATTATCAAGACCAGTGCGAAAAACAGGAAATCAGAGGTTCAGAAACAAAATCTCAATTCCAGGGGGGTGGGAAGTAGGATATCAGAAATTGAGGGTTTTGAGAGGAAAGAGGGGGGAGAGGGCAGGACTCATGGGTTCAGGGGAGGGGACGGGGAGACTAGTTCCCATTGCTTTTATTCCTTGCTTTTCATCCTTTACTGATAATTGGTAACTTTCCAGCTTGTCTCCATTACTCTCGTCGCTCCTTTCTTACCGTGGGACGGTAGGTGCACTGAAGCAGCACCTCTTCATGGGCTCTCCCCATTGCTTCGCCGCCACCAGCAGAGCTGCCACCGCTTAGTTGCTGCCTTGACTCTGAGAGAGGAACGGGCGAGCGTTAAGGGGAGGGTGAAGAGGGGGGTTGTACGCAGCAGCAACACTTCCACCTCCCCGAATTTAAACTGCCAGCAGCACAGAGTTGCTGCTGCCTAAACTAAGCCCATCATTCCAACCCACCAGCACCCATCATTCCAACTCACCAGCACCATCATTCCAACCCCAGCACCCATCATTCCAACCCACCAGCACCCATCATTCCAACCCACCAGCACCCATCATTCCAACCCACCAGCACCCATCATTCCAACCCACCAGCACCCATCATTCCAAACCCACCAGCACCCATCATTCCAACCCACCAGCACCCATCATTCCAACTCACCACCGCACCCATCATTCCAACTCACCAGCACCCATCATTCAACCTCACCAGCACCCATCATTCCAACCCACCAGCACCCATCATTCCAACCCACCAGCACCCACCATTCCAACCCACCAGCACCCATCATTCCAACCCACCAGCACCCATCATTCCAACCCACCGGCACCCATCATTCCAACCCACCGGCACCCATCATTCCAACTCACCAGCACCCATCATTCCAACCCACCAGCACCCATCATTCCAACCCACCAGCACCCATCATTCCAACCCACCAGCACCCATCATTCCAACTCACCAGCACCCATCATTCCAACCCACCAGCACCCATCATTCCAACCCACCAGCACCCATCATTCCAACTCAACAGCACCCATCATTCCAACCCACCAGCACCCATCATTCCAACCCACCAGCACCCATCATTCCAACTCACCAGCACCCATCATTCCAACCCACCAGCACCCATCATTTCAACCCACAAGCACCCATCATTCCAACCCACCAGCACTCACTATCCCAACCCACCAGCACCCATCATGCCAACTCACCAGGGATTTCAGCGCGGTGGGGCGGACGAGGGGGAAGAAGCGGAATCTCAGGGAGGCGACAGCATGCTTTCGGGACCGCTCATCCCTGCCCTGCCCTCACCAGCCAAGCATGGTTCAATTATAATATTTACGTGGTTCTTTTTATGATTTTTTTCCCGCACTTCACACATTCACCCTTGCTCCCCTCTTACCGCGTGGGGGGCGATGCGCCTATGAGCCGCCATTGGGCGAGAGGCGGGCGGCGGCGGCGCAGAGTGCGTGCGTTGCTCCGTGCGTCCGTCCAGCCGGCCGGCTCCTCGGGCTCACTCGCCCCCGCTCCCATGCTGCCTCCGCCCAGCCCCTGCTGCCGCACACATGAGGGGGGAAGGGGGAAATGGATGTAAGATGGGGAAACGGGGCGGAGACACGGCACGCGCCGTTCACCGCGGCAGGTCAGGCAGCGCGCGCGCCGTTCACCGTGGCAGGTCAGACAGCGCGTGCGCCGTTCACCGCGGCAGGTCAGACAGCGCGCGCGCCGTTCACCGCGGCAGGTCAGACAGTGCGCGCGCTGCTGCACGCAAGGCAGCGAGCGGCTGCACGCAAGGCAGCGAGCGGCTGCACGCAAGGCAATCCGCGCTGCTGCACGCAAGGCATTCCGCGCGGTTCACGCAAGGCAGCGCGCGGGACTGCACGCAAGGCAGCCCGCAATCTGCTCGCCAGGCAGCGATCTGCTCACCTGAATCGGTCACTTCAAGCGATTCAATTGTTTCCTCCAACGGAGCTTCAATCCGACACAATTGCATCTCGCCACTGAAAAGGAGAAATTGGCGAAGAGCTCGCTAAGAGCACTACGCGAAGAGGACAAGTGCGCGAAGAGCAAAGAGCACTACGCAGCGACGAGTAGAGGAAAGTATTCAGGTGGGGTGAGAAATGGATCTGTGAGAGAGAGAGAGAGAGAGAGAGAGAGAGAGAGAGAGAGAGAGAGAGAGAGAGAGAGAGAGAGAGAGACGAGCAGGCAGGGAGGAGGTGTGTGAAAATTGATAGTGGGGTTTGAGGCAGGTGGGTGGTTGGTTGGAGAGGTGGCTCCCTGGTGGGTGGTGTTTGGGACTCTGATAACGTTGTGGCGGAGTTCCGAGTGCGTTTGCCCCATGATCCAAGGCCTTGGATCCGTGTGCTCCGGATTCCGAAGGGCTTGGGCGCAAGGCTCCGCCGCATACGACAAGGCCAGCCGCTCACAATTCCGCGCCCACCTGACCGTGAAAAATGTGTTCCAACCAACCTGCCCGTGACCCTTTGTGCCAGTGATGTTTGTCGCGAATGACATTTTTCGCCATCGTAACTCTTTGGCCGACAAGTGACGACCGCCGGTCGCATGGCCGGTTGCGACCAACTGGTCTTCTCTGCGTCGTTATATGCTTTAACTCGTTTTTTTTTTTGGCTGCAGCCTTAAAGCTGCAGCAGGTGTGTTCCTTTATACCATTGATCTTATGTGTTTTATGAATAACATGAGTACACGTGTAGCATCCTACGTTTGCTCATTGTGTTTTATAGTCATTGTTTACCAAGTGTAGGTGTTCTGCACACGTGGCCATGGCAACAGTTGTTGTCAGAGTCCCAAGGCTGCAAGAGCCAATAAGCGTCGTGTAGGGAACTTTTTTTTTGGCGGGAGAATCATCCAGCCCAGGGTTGGATGACCAGATCTGGACACGGGCTTCTGTGTGTGGTGGATGGGTATGAATGGATGTTTTCGTGCTCATTTGCTCCTTTTCATTTGCATTTCATGCTCCGCAAGCTCTTTGAGATCTTTTCATCCAGCACCTGTTAGTCCACCAGCGTAGTCTTTTAAGCCTGCTTGGCCCACTGGCAGAACATTGGCGTCCTCGACGTAGTGACGTAGGTCGTATAGAGTGGGTTTTTTTTATTTTGGGTCAGCCCGGTTAGGATAACTGCAGTCGCACTTGTTAGGTCGCTTATGTAGGCGCAGATCTGTGTGGTAGAATATTTTGTCGGTAGAACTGTTTGTATTTGCCCGGAACAATTGTCGTAGGTCGCCCGCTCTTGTAGCCGGACATCTTCGACGTTAGGCTTTTTTTATCGGTAGAAGTATTCGCTCCCAATCCATAATATCGTCGAACCCACGAAAGTTATGTACAAGCATAAGGGTTCCGTAGATGATTATATCCGTATAATGGTAGGAACTTATTTTCGTTGTTTCGTTGTAGAGAATTAAAGCGGTAGAACAAAGGGTGACAGAGCTATACGGTACGGGACAGTCAGGCGACCCTGTATACGCAAGTTGTAGGCGCAGATATATGTAAACGCAAGTTGTAGGCCGTGTTCGAAGACCAATGTGCATACATCTGAAGCATAGACTCTCTTACGGCTTCTGCGCTTAGCCCACTAAGCATTCTGCCTATGTTATCTGCACACTTGCGAATCGTTACCACCTACCGCGGCTGACACCATCCGATTGTTTCGTCTAGTCTCGGTTGCTAGCTAATAAATTAGGAATCTGTGAATGGCCAACAGCTCGGTCCACTCTCGCCCCATGGCAGCCCAGGGCGCAGAGGATGGAGAAGAAGACATGGAGGACGATGAAAATACTGACCAAGACTACGCACAGGATCGCGAGAACGATAGCGAGTTTGAGGTGACCGAGGAGGATTTGTTCCAGGGTGGTCTCTACGAACCATCCGTCCGGATTCAAGTCCAAGGGAGTGAAGAAGGGAGTGAAGGGCCGGGAGGCGATGGAGTGCGCCCACGACCCGGTGCGCCCGAAGAACGGTACGAGGAGGATGGAGATCACTCTGACGCAGAAGAGGAGGGAGAATCATCGCCGGGACGACGACGACCTCCCGATTCTGCGAGCCATGTCGAGCAGGCTGCGGCCCCCGGAAATGCGCAGCGGCAGACCGACGTTGCGGAAAAGGAGAGCAGGATCCGGCGTTCAACAATCCTGCTTCGACTGATAGAGGCCGGCACGAGAAGGCACTATTGTTTCCACTTTCTACACTTCAAGTGGTGGGTGATAATCTTCATGGCAACTATGGTAGATGTCCCTGTGGCAGATAGGCTTGCCCCCTCTCTGCACGACGAGGTTGGGTTTCATATGAGCAATAACTTGGGAAATGATGGGTGGTCGTGCAGCTCTGACGAGTGGCAGATTCATCTGCACGGGCCGCGGGTCACGGAATGGAGGCTCGGCCGATACATCGAGTATCTCTTCTGCGAAACTGACGAGAAGGCAAAGTTTTTGCGTGGAAAAATGCGGCCAGACGTCGAGAAATATGTGGGGAAGGAGGCAAAGGGGTGCACGGCTTCAATGATCAAGGCAAAGATGAACGCAATGGGATGCCTTGCCAGATGCGAGGCGAGGCTCTACGGCTTCTCCATCACACTGACCAAGGACTGGATCAAGGATGCTCGGGATTATTTCAAAGTCAAGCTGAAGGATCTGAACGACGAGCAAGTCGCGTGAGTAACATATACGTGTGCTTTCTGTTTGTGTGAATGTTGTTCTACATGGTTTACATAATTATTGTGCTATTCTATGCAGGGATGGTCGAGATCAAACCCGTGGATCAATTGGTGATTGCTATACGGGAAGCCAGTATAGGACGCTGCATCTTACTGTTCTGCGAAAAAGAGCTCCTAGAGATCTGGTGGCGGACGCCTCCGTCACAAATCTCGCTTCCTCTCTGGAAGGCTCTGCAAGTCCCGGTTATGATGCACCTCGGACACCAATTTCTCGGAAGAAGGTGCAGCATTCGAAAGATTCGCCTTGGGAACCTGTTTGTCCGCATGACGCGGAGCACATCACACCTCGACGAGTATCTGGACGTTTTCGTACTCGTCGTTGTTTCCAGGAAGTCGAAGACCAACCCCAACAACAAGCTGAGTCATCAGTTTCTTGCAAGGCATAGGGACTGGCGGCTCTGCGGAATGGGCCATGTGTTCCTGTGGCTTCATTTCATCTACGACCTCGTTCCTCTGCGCTACGGCCCCGGTATCGTCGAGCCTCTCGACTTTTCTGAACCGATCTTGTGGACTAAAGCGCACCTCTTCTTTCTTTGAAGAAGGGCAACCAGGGAAAGCAGAAGCAAGACGAGATGCACTACAAAACGCATAACACCTGGATTAAGTGGGCCATGACGAAGGCGAGATGGATTCTGAGCAAGGTGACACATGCATTCCGCAGATCCGGAGCGCAACAACTCCATGACGACGGTTGCTCCGACAACGATATCGACACTCTGGGCGGATGGGCGCAGGGGGAGTTGCGGAGGTGTTATGTGTTCGGCATTCCGTTCAAGCCGGTTTGGCTGCTGGCAGGATTCAGCGGGGATCGTGGAGACTACTACATCGGCAGAGCCCGCGCCAAGCTTCCGCGGCATAAGGATAAGGAGAAGGATGAGTGGTTGCAGCTCTTGGATCTCTTGAGGCTTCACATTTTCCCCTGGGTCGAAGAGGGTTGGAAGAAGGTACGTGCTAGTGTACAGTCTTCACGTTCGTAGCTTAATTTTGATACGCAATTATGAACCGTCGCATTTCTCCTGCATACTCGTCCCGTCAGGTCGAAGAATGGAACGCTGCGCAGACCGATCCGCTGAAGAGGCACTATGCGGGGGCGAGGTTCCTTGAGACCCTCGCGAGCATCGGACGCCTCGTTGTTGCACAGGATCTGGCTATGATGTGGGCGTTCTGCCATCAGCACGGCGTGAGAAACCCGCGGTGCAATTGCGAGAGGCATCCATATGTGCAGATGAGCCCCTTGTGCAACCACCCGCTGTTCCAAAAGTGGGCGTACCTGGTCGCTATCTCTCACTTCCAGGGCGAGAAGCTTCGGGCAACCGGCCAAACCACTGCCAAAGCAGTAAGTGCCTGCTATTAGTGGTAGAGAGAGGGAGTTATTCGTTCATGCTGAGTTCTGCCGTGTTGGTTTCTACAGGACGCTATCTTTCACACGACCGCAGAAGAGAAGATGCAGAAGATGCACCTCACCGCCAATATGCTCAGGGAGGAGCTTGGGATTTTGAGAGGATGTGAAATGCAGTTGGCGATGGAGAACGCTGAACTGAGGGAGAAACTCGCCGCTGAGCGAGAGGACAAGGCTCGGGTCATTGCAGAGTTCGAAGCATACAAGAGGTCTGTTGCGGCCAGGGATGACGCGGCAAACACCTCTGCAGAGATCGACGGATCGTCGAAGAGCGCGGGAACAGGAGCAAACCAGGCAACGGACGCATCCAAAGCACCAGTTGCTGTGGAAGAATTCTTCGTCGTGGTCGTTGTGTCTTGGAGCGAAGCCACCACTATTGCTGCTAGCCTGGAAAGTGTGGGTGCAGCCAAGCCTCATCATGGGCGGCAGGTCACTGCGCGAAGTCTTTGCAGAGTTCGACCGGTATAAGAAGAAGGACAAGAATTCCAGCTTCATCACCGCATATTCCCGGCTCGCTGACAAAGGTACGCCCGAGATGGCTGTGGGTGCATGCGAGCGAAAGATGCGTCGCGTGCATCGTGTCATGGTTTCCGTGGAGATGCTAAGAAAAGACAGCTCCGAGGCGGCAACCGCAACGGCCATTAAGCTGCTGGACGAGGTTTTTACTCGTGTGCAACTTCACGGAATTCACCAACGGCCTGGCGGTGCTGCATGAGACTCCGCCCATCAAGAAACAGAAGACCGGTTCGTCGACGGAAAAGAGGACCGTCAACGACTTGGCGCAACGCAGAGTGGGCTGGCTGTTAGTCAAGAAGGGCCTTCGCGACCAGGAGTGGGCAACTTCGCTGTTTGGGGATGATGAGTGGGAGGAGATCCACAAGGAACACATGGCGCAGGAGAAGGCGGAAGAGGAGAAACAACGAACCGCTGCGGCGAAGAAGGCGGAACGGGAAAAGGCGAAGGGCGAAGCGTCGAAACGCTAGGAGCAGAAATGAGGGGGCATGTACCTTAAGGGTGGGGCGGTTTAGTTATTTGGGTACTTTATTCCGGTTGTACTGAATATGCACTACAGGCACTTGTCTGTCTCTGTAGAAGCCCGATTTGGGGCTTGTATGCCA